CTACACATTGAAGATGAGCAACGGTTACTGCATTGCCTGTAGGAGCATACTTCTTGCCATTGCCTTTTGATTTAGTATTGGAATTAGAGAAATGTCGCTTTGTACCCACCATAGATGGAACATTAAAATGAGTTTCATGTTTGGACATGAACTATTTTAATATTAAGGACAATTGTTGTTCTTGTTTATTTTGATAAAGATCCTAATGGCTATGGTAAATTACAAAAAGACGTTTATATTCTTTAATACTAAGGATTCTATAATGAGTATAGAAATTATAAGGCATAAATGCGATAATCTAATTATTACATAAATCTGGCATGGCAGACTCGGTCCTATAGATGAAATGCAATTTCAAAATTACATAGAGATGTATACGTAGAGTAATTTGATTTTGAATCGTTTGACAAATGCAAAACATGCCTGTTTGGCATAATGACTAAATCTCCTTTTACTTGAAAAGGAATAAGACTGCATAAATATTGGTATAATACATAGAGATGTATATGGACCCATGTCAATTAATGTCAGATGAGGTTTCTATAATATCATCAGTTATTAGGTATTTTTGACGAAATTCAAGCATGAAATTCTTAAAAGGTTCAAAGAATTCAAGCTAGAAGTAGAGAAACAAATAGGTAAATATATCCTCACATCAAGATACACATCAAGATACGATCGAGATGAAACTATCTTAAAGATTAAATTCTGGATTATCTAAGAGAGAATGAGATTCTCTTGCAGTGGACTCCTCTATATACACTGCAGCAATGGTGTATCTGAAAAGATGAATTGTTAACTACTAGATATAATGCGATTAATAATAAGCCATGCAAACCTCCCAAAATCGTTTTGGAATCATGCACTGATTGCAGTGTGCTGGACACTAAATCATGTCCCATCTAAATTGATTAACAGAACTCCATACGAGTTATGGAAAAACAATAATCCCAATTTATCTTATATGAAAGCTTGGAGCCATGACGCTTATTTGAAGTTCCTTGAATCGGATAAGTTTGACACTAAATCCGATAAATACATATTTGTGGGATATTCAAAGCAGATATTTGAATATAAATTTTATTATCATGAAGAAAGTCTTCGTCTCATGACATGTCATCTTCTTAGAGAAAATACTTACTCTAGGGGAGGACAGTGGGAGCAAAATAGAACTTGAAAGGGTTCAAGAGTCCACAGATATAGTTAACCAAGTAGATAAATCTGAGTTTGATCCCATATCTGATATGGGACATACTCTTAATCTGGTGGTAAAGACTCCTGAGGACATGTCAGTTCTATGTGAATCTAGTAGGATCATTCGACCTCAAGTAGGTACGAATCCACGATTACTAATCATGTATTACTGATATAGGATGATGAACCTACTAATTGTACAAAAATAAAGTCAAATATTGACATAAAAGAGATGGCCAGAGGCCATGAAACCCGAGATGAACAAATGTATAAAACAAGGTTTGGACTTTGGTCGACCCTTTTGATGGAATAAAACCCATATGTTGTAAATGGTTTACAAGGAAAATGTCGACATGGATGAGAGTATCCATACATACAAAGCAAGGCTAGTGACAAAGGTTAAGTGTTGACCTTGGTGAAACCTTTCTCTTGTAACTTTGCTGAAGTCCATTCGGATTTTGGTTACAATAGTTGCATACCATGATATGGGTTAAAATAAGTCTCTTGGAGTTAAAATCTTCGATTTGATAGGAAAATCTAAACATTGATTTTATCAAACATGAAGACAAATTATGTGTTTGCAAGAAGAGAGTGGGAGCATTGTCGCACTTCTAGTATTGTAGAAAACAACATCACTATTCTTCAATCGTTGAAATAATGGTTGTCAAAGGATTTACTCATGTATGGGAAAAGCAACTTGATCTATGGAAATAGATCTAGCAGATTGCTTAATTCATCCCAGTCAGCATAGATAAAATCTTGGGAAGATTTTATATTGAGAAAATGGATTACTTTTAAGCGGTGTGTTGGAATAGTTCCAAACGTTAAACAACCGTTGGTTCATTGGTAAAAAATAATACATGATTGCTTTAGAAGCAACAAAGAGTTGCAATGTGGATCAAGATATTCATTAATGAACTTGAGTAGTTACTAATATTGTTGATCACATGCCATTGCACTGTGATAACAATAGACCCACCGCAAAAGCGAAGGAACTAAGATCTCATCAATGATCCTAACATGTATTGAGGCAGTATAATCTCATTAGAGAGATAATACATAGAAATGATGTGAAAAGAAGAACGAATTTCGACAATTAATTGCAGACCTATTGACAAAGAGTTGTCAAAGTATAGACATGATCGTCATGTAGACTCTTATGATATTGGATACATAAGTGATTGGATCTAGTGCAAGTGAGAGTTTGTAAGTATTATGCCCAAGGTCCAATCTACCTTGGACATAAATATTCTTAATATATAATTAATGCAGTTTAATGACAGATCTATTATTTAATAGACAATTAAATTAAATAATAGAATCTGTAGATTCAAAACTTTGTAATTTGTTAATCACAAGGAGTTGTGATTGTGAGATACAAATTACATATGATTGAATCTTAAATCGTCCATGATCGTAAGTAATAACGAGATACGAATATTGTTATTACAGATAGACCATCAAGCGTGGCATTTCTTACTTGTGAAGTAAGTAGCTGATTTCACAAGCTAAAGTGTGGTGACACTTAAATGAATACGTGAATGTTTTGTTATAGAACAAAACATTGGAGACCCACCGAGAAATTTCACATAGATAACTATCTATGTGTCAGTGGTTAATCTTTAATGTTCGGTAGTGGGATGGGTCCTTTGACTTGAGGTCGTCATAGTATCTTATATGATGACAGTCATGCTTTGACAATGTTGGATATTGCTCTGTTAAGGGCCGCTAATACAGCATCATTCGGGTATGTCAAGAATCGTATGAAGGTTGTGAATGATCAATAGAGGATTCGTCACTCGTAGATAGTAGGAGATTATGATCTGCGTTTCATTCAATTAAGTCGATAACGAAATCATTGGCCAAGGTGTACTCATAAGTCGAAAAGAAGTTCTCAACTTATATTGACTTAATAGTGAAGTGAAAGATATGATCGATATTCGGGATTGACACACTTTCATATCTCGTAATTGATCTAATAATATTGACGAAGGGATTATAGTTTCATGGTAAACGAACGAGTTTGATTTTGTCATACCACATGACATTCCCCGTCACATGTATTGCCTTGACACATTGCTAGATATCAATTTGGGATGACGAGTTTGAATTGATGATAAATTAAAATGGTGTTTTAATTTATCAATTTTGATTAGATCAAAATAATATTTCACGTTATTAGGTATCGTGATCGGGAACCTAATGGGTCGCACACAAAAGAGAATTGGAAGATTGCAATTTGTCAATTAATTAATTTAACAATCGTTGGATAAATTAATTAATTGGGTTGGTTATTTATAGGCCTGAATTAATTAATTAGATTAATTAATTCATAGACCGAATTTAATTAAATGAATTAATTAAATATTGGACCGGATCGAACCAGGCCAGTCTCGTTTGGACTTATATAAATACATGGCTAAAGTTTTCAATCCAGAAAGTTTCTCATAATTTTTCTTGTTAGCACAAGAGGAGAAAACTCTGGTAGCTACAATCTGTTCTCTGTGTGAATCGCCGTTTGCGATGGCAACTTACCTCGCCCCGCCCCGAATGAGGCAAAATAACCCGCCCCGTCGTGGGGTGCGGGGCGAGGTTGCCTCTCCCCGGACCCGCCCCGTGAAAAAAAAATATATGTATTGCATAAATAGTTGAACTAGACCGGTTGCCCACTTTCCCAATCCCCACACTTGCCCTAATTTTTCTTTTCCAATTTCCTCGTTCGACTTGACGTCTCGACCCATTCACAAAGCGGCAAAGCCCCCTTTGCCCTTCCAGCAATCCAACAGCTAGATTGAGACCATTTATCTCTCCGGTTAGCTCTCTAGTTCACATTTTGGATTCTTTTATGGTATTGTTGTGTTAAATATTTTTGTTAATTTACCTTGGATTTGTTGGTGTTTGGATTTTAGAGGCTGATTTTGAGAAATTTTAGTTAAAAAAAGTTTTGAGAAATTTTCGAACTCAATTAATAAATGAGTTTGTGTTGTGTATGCAAAAATTTGGAGTTCACCTTTCGCAGTGGAGCTCTTAAACTCTTGATTTTTGTATTGAAGCAAAACATATGGATCTATTTTACCTGCACAACAATAATATATATTGAACATAAGTGGGTTAAGAAAACCTCATTGGATGGATTCATCTGTGAGCAAACCAATGGCACGTTTGGTTTTTTTGATTGATAAAGACTTAATATGATTAAAGAAGAGAAGAGTTTGTTCTTTTTAATTGGCACTGTGGCTTGTGCCAAATTAGATAATTGTATTATTCATCAACTGAAATACAAATAAAGCTAATCAAGAAATTTTTTGTAGGTTCAACCCTTAAACTGGAGTTCAAGATGCGAAACGAACACAAAATCATTAGTAATAATTTTTTTTGCTTCAAAATTTTCAAGAAATGAGTGATATAATAAACCCAGTGTACCTGTAAGAAATACACACATACACCCATATCAAAGATGTCTTTTTGGGGTTGTTCTAGATTGTTGGTTCTTGGTCACTGGGAAAAAAATTTGAGAAGTGTGGTTTTCACAATTTTTACCAAAAACCTTCCTTTTTGTTGTGATGGGAACAATTAATTTGGGCTTGGGTTCCTCGTAGTTCTTCATATGAAACATCATATGATCAACATATAGCACTCCCTAAAAATGTTTATCCCAGTTTCTGGGAATTTTTTGGACATGGGACCAATTTTGAATGCTTTTGTGCATTTAATGATCTGATTTGTACTTACTAAGGTTCTTCTTATCCAACGACGAAGCCTAGTCGAAGAAACATTGTTCTAATTTTCTCAAGATTTTTGGAGCAATGTCATTTGGAAAGAGGAAATTGACTTCAACTATGTGGGAGCACTACAAAAGACAGAAAATTGGTGAGAAATGGAAGGCTATATGCAATTATTGCAAGAAACAGTTAGGGGGTGAAATCAAAAATGGTACAAAGCATTTGCACGATCATTTGAAGAGACGTGTACTCCGTTATAAGGATAATAATCACCAAACAACATTAAATTTCAAAAAGGACGCCACAAGTGGCAATGTCACAATGGGTGCTTACTCTTTGGATCCATATAAGTGTAGATATATTCTTTCGAAAATGGTGATTTTGCATGAGTATCCTTTGTTTATGGTTGATCACATTGGATTTCGAGAGTTCTTGCATGACCTACAACCATTGTTTAAGGTTTTTTCTCGCAACACTTTAAAGAGCGACATTTTGAAAATCTATGAATATGAGAGAGCCAAAAATATGATTGCACTTGAGAAGATCGAGAGTAGAATTTCGATCACTACCGACATGTGGACCTCTTCTAATCAAAAGAGAGGATTCATGGTTATCACTGCTCATTTCATAGATGATGCATGGAAATTACAGAGTCGAATCATGAGGTATAGTAAAACATTACATTCACTTGTTCTCATAATTTACCAAAATGATATTCATTTAGTTGATTTAATTTGTTCTTGAATGAACTCAGGTTTATATATGTGTCGTGCCCACACACCGTTGATGTGCTTTCAGAAACTCTATTAAGCAGCTTGATGGACTGCAATATTGATCGTCAGTTCTAACTTTGACGGTAGATAATTGCACCGCAAATGATGCAATGATCAGTATTGTGTTAAGTCAACTTTGTACTCGTTCTCTTGTACTGAATGGTGAATTTTTTCATATGAGGTGTTGTGCACATATATTAAATCTTATTGTGAATGATGGGTTGGACATTATTAGTGGTAGTGTTGAGAAAATTCGTGATAGTATTGCTTATTGGACAGCCATGCCAAAGAGATTTGAAAAATTTGAGCTCTTTGCACGCCAGTTGAAAATTGATTGTGAGAAAAAATTGGTGCTTGATTGTAAAACAAGGTGGAATTCGACGTATTTGATGCTTAGTACTACTTTGATTTATAAGGATGTTTTTCCGTGTTTGAAATAGAGAGAATCACGATATAATTGTTTCCCTAGTGATGGTGATTGGGATTTAGAAAAGAAATATGTGAGAAGTTATATTTTTTTTTGAGGTTACTGAATTGTTTTCAGGAACAAAGTATCAAACTGCTAACTCTTCTTTGCAAATGTTTGTGATATCAAACTGTCATTGTATGAGTGGCTTGAATCTCCTTATTTGGAAGTTCAAATGATGGCAACCAGTATGATGGAAAAGTTTAATAAGTACTGGAGCGATATTCATGGAGTTTTGGCTTTAGCAGCAGTGTTGGAGCCGAGGTATAAGATGATGTTAGTTAAGTTTTATTATTCTCGTATTTTTAGTAACAATGCTGTAAGTGAGATTGACAAAATATATCAAGTTTGTAGCAAGTTGGTGCACGATTATCAGAAGAAGAATTTTTCAAGTGGGTCTTTAACTCAGTCTTCTATTTCTTCTTGTCAAACCGAGACGTCAAGTGCTAATAATAAATCAGATCGCATGGCGGATTTTTATAAATTTGTTTCTAATGTTGAAGTTCCTAGTAGTGTGAAAACCGAGCTTGATACTTTTTTGGATGAGCCTATATGGCCTCGGTCGGATGATTTTGATAAATTGACATGGTGGAAAGTGAATTCAATCAAATATCCGACAATATCTCAAATTGCAAAAGATATTTTGGTCATCCCAGTATTTACTGTGGCATCCGAATCTGCTTTCAGTACTAAGGTAGATTTGTTAGTCCACACAGAAATAGACTTCACCCCAAAACGTTGGAGGCTTTAATGTGTGCTCAAGATTGGTTATAGGCTGATATTCACGATACGATGTATAGAAATGTTTGCTTTTTATATTGTTTCTTTTATGAATTTTCTTATTACTAATTATTTTATTTTATTAATAGCGAATTCTGCGCCATCTGCATATTTTGGAAGTTGCTTCAAGATGAATGATGAGGATGTTGATGAAGAGGTACTTTTATTTTTTACATAATCTAAATTCTTTTCATTGTTATTATGAATTTATGATGATATTGAGTATAATATTTCTTTCATTTTTCAGGATCCATTTTCCACAATCTCTGAACCTGCCGATGAATAAAGTTATTAAGATGGAAAAACAAAAAATTTATTTTTGGATAAAGAAGTGAAATTTAGTTACAATGTAATTGTATTTGTAATTGTTTATTTTCGGATATTGTTTGTTTAGACTACTTAATTTAGATGTTAGCGTTTTTAAACTGTGAATTTGAAAAAAAAAAAAAAGACGGGGCAGCAAACAGGGCATGACCCTGCCCCGCCCCGAACCCGCCCCACTACCATCCCTAATCACCGTTGGAGGCTGGACAATTAGACAACTGTGGTGGCGAATCAAGATCATTGGTACAAAGAAAAAGCAAAGGGGTTTACAAATCTAGAAAAATATATGACTTTTATCACAATTTCTGTCTAAACACAAAGATGAATTCTGGTGGGAAACGAAAATTATTTTAATTTTCGCTGTGCATGTTAAGTAGATTCCCAACAGTTAAACCTTGTTTCGACATGAGTCTGGCTGCAAATTTTCCACAACTTTATCACATTTATGGATAATGTTACAATATATAATTTATATAATAACCAAAACAAGGCAGTACAATTATATGATTAATAATAACAAAAAAATGGATGGCCCCTGCAGATTTTATTGAATGTCGACCTTCCCATGCAGTAAAACGCTTTCATTTTTCATAAATAACTTTGATGTTTTGAATGACAAATTAATCTTGAAATCTATGCATTTTGTTTGAGCCTTGTTCGGACGAATTCTTCATTTGAACTTAATTCTGAATCGTGAAGTTCCATGCCAATAGTAATCAAAATATTCAAATTGTTACTAATAATTACTTGATAAGAAATATGTTTTTATATCTTATGATTCCATAATGAATCCACGAAAGACCTCACAGTATCTTTTGATTCGTAGGGGAATGAATTAAACTACTAACATTTTCCATATTGAATCCGGAACTTTGGTTCTTCTTGAGAAGCATCTCCAATGAAGCGTGGATTGCTTAAAAAAATGTCACATCAAAATGCGTACATAGCAAGAAAAATGGTGGAAAATGTCGAAAGCGTGCTATATTTCATGCATTTTTAAAAAAAAATAAATTTAATTTCGTTGAAGGATGTGTCCATTTACTTTTTTTTATACTTATCCCTACTCTACATCATATCGTTTGTATATGAGATTCACAATTCACATCTACATTGGAAATATTCCTCTCTTCATTCCCATTTTGCTTGCCACAAGTAAAACAATTCACGTTGTTGTGTAATGTAACCAAATGCATGTTCTTAGAAGTTACTTGTTTAAAATAGTAAATTAATATTACTTTCCATAAAACTAAATTCTGTTAAGAGTAACTTAGAAAATGATGTTTATCTCAAAAAATATAAGCACTAAAACCTGCAGTAAGCCGAGGTAACAGTGCCCCCAAAAGCAACGTGCAACTATAAATCTTCATCCGGCTCCCAAAATACAAATACACAAACAGCAAAGAATACAGGACGAAGAGACATTTACATTGCAAAAAGAACTTTCTTCGGCCTGTCTAACCCACCTCCCCCTTGCCCCAGAAATTGGGGGGTCACATGACCCTCCATGCCCCCCCCCCCCTCTCCCCCCGCCACCCCCCCCCCCCCCCCCCCCCGCCCCCCCCAAAAAAAAAAAAAAAAATTAAAAAAATTCATAGCTCAGGGCTAGAACTATGGAATTATTCCCTTGTTTACTTACAACATCTCCATATCTTTGCTAGTTACTGTCTTCTTCAGAACTAACCATTCTATACCAAGTACATTTCGTAACATTCAAAGGCAAATGCATTATGCGACCTATGTCAGTGTTTGGAAAACTCGGTTGTGCCATAACGAATGAAGTATCATATTGAAAATGTCATACTTCACAGGCCTGGTATGCCAAAGAAAATGCTGTTGTACCTGTTTAACTCTTTGCTGCATCTTTAAATATCTTTTCTTAGAGATGGATAGAAGTATATTCTTCAAATTCGGTATGTCCTTCTCCAAGACAAAAACTGCGAAAGACTCCCAATTCAAAGTCTCAAAAAATGGAGGGATAAAATTGTCTGATATGATTACAGGAACACACTCGTAGAAAATGGCCTCGACCACTCTAGGACTGTTTACTTCGAAACCTTTAGCGCATATGCAGTACTTGCTGCTCTTCATGTACTGGACATAGGTCATTTGTCCTTTCACTTTACGAATCCGACCAAAAATCTTCATATCAGGATCTTTGTTTTCCCAGTGATTCAGCAAAATGGGACGGAGATAACCATGCATGTTTCCAGCAAAGAAAGCAAGGATTCGTCTTTGGGAAGGAGGTTTCCCTCCAAGTTCTCTAAGAGGATTCTGAGCTGAGCGTACAAAGGTCTCAGGAAGAGACACATCTTTACCAAACTTGAACCCTTCTTTGATATCAGCATTGCATAAAGCTCTAATACAAGTACCCATCCTCTCCCTGGTCTCTGCCGGTGCCTGAGAACACAAGATTTATAATGTTAATAGATTTCTGTAAGATTTTGATATTGAAACTTAAAACTACAGATCTTTTGCTGAGGGTTTTAAGTAAGAGGTCTAGCAACTACAATTTTTTGGAAATAAAGCTAAGTTTAATATAGTTGGTTTTAAGTATTAGGTCCATGGACAAAATGCAAAATGGCATTAAAAGAAAAAGATAAGAGAATGGTCTGCTCAACCAGTTCTACAGATAGCAAAAACTAATTACAATGATATCTACAAAATTGTGCTCTTGGACCTGAATGCCAAAAAGTAGAAGTAATGAATATCAACCCCATGTGAAAGTCATACCCAATCATGGCAGGCTACAAGGAAATGGTCTGCTCCACCAGTTCTATTCCAGAAACGATGTTTTGTTGTGATCACATCGACGTAGTTACTCAAACATTGAAGCATGTTCTTGCGATTATGAGAATTGGGGACATATAAAGTCAGTTCTAGTGCCCGCGAACTGAAAGGCAAGTAAAATAGGTGAGCTCTTTTGGGGTTTTTAGTGACAAAATGTTTGTTTGCCTTCAGTAGCTTCATAAACCATCCCTCTGAAGCATATATTCCTTTGAGAGGTGGCTGATGAAATATAGGTCTTTGTCCTTCAGAATAGATGTAAACTTTGAGAGTCTGCTCCATCAATTCATAGCTCCTGTGTATAACAATTAGGAATTATTGCTTAAAATGTCCAAAAATTTAGTTGAGCAGTTAATATCATTTCTGCAAAAGTGATGATTTTTAAACAAAATCTAGTCATACCATTTAATACAATATCCTTTGGTTAAAAGCAAAATAGTGAAGTCAGTTCTTGATATGGGACTTGCCTTGAGGCAAAGATAATTATAAAAAAATCTCAAGACCTTGGCTAGCAAACAGTCTGGCATACAAGATCTGCACATTCATGCCCATAATTCAAGCATATACCTTCGAAAGATTTCAACATATTGCTTGCCCGGTAAAAAAATTCTTAGCACTCAAATATAAAAAATCCAACGAATATACTATAGCAACGAGCAGCCTGATCTCTCAGGTGTGATTAAAAAAATAAATTAATTAATATGCTTATATAATTGCAAGTGTTAGTTTTAAGGCAAAACCACCATGATCAGCATGTGAATTAACCC